CCACCCTCCCTCTGACGCTGGAAGTAGATGTGTCCTCGAATCATGCGGGCCTTATTGTTAGGTGATGATTGCGCTAAAACGTGCCCATATCTACCCTGACCTCCTTTGGTATGTAGCTGGCGGCCCTTTGCTTCATCAGCACTATGCTCTTCCTATATGTATAATTTCCTAGCGTTTCACGCTGTGTGTTTGAGTGCTCTAGAAGCGGTCATCATGTTCAGTGGCAACAGCTGAGCAAAGATTAAGAACGGAGCGCGAAAGCTTTAAAGCCACAAGAATATAAAGCTCACCACGATACGAAATGAGGTGTTAGACGAGGTTCGATGCCACGGTATTTCGGTTGTCTCATCGAATGTGGTATGTCGAATCACCTTGTCAGATGCCATGATTCCATTGATGAAACGGATTTCATTATCGGCAAGTCTGAAAATGTGAATGAATGCGTTAAAGGCAGCGATTACGATAAAGAGGGAGCGCATCGGGAAGCATATGCACCACACGAATCAGTTACTTGGCTGCCAGGGAAGCGAGTGTGGCGCTTTCACGACGAAAGGTGCGCTGGTTGCTGAGCAGGACTTCGAAAGCGCTCCGCCCCCAAAAGCGATCCGCCCACTAGTTTACTTGGTGATTTGGACGAGCTGCGTTGCCAGCAGCGGCACAATGGAGCATCTCGATTAAAGCGTGGTTTGGCATGGTGCCACCAAACGCGTTGCGGTGAACTCGTTCATACGTCCACTTTCTGAGCTGTTACCTGTTCATGAGTGAAAACCAACGGCCAAAAAGGGGGTCCCGTTTTGCGTTTTCTTGACGGATTTTCTGCTTTTTTCGCCACTGGCGTACCATTGAGCACCACCACGTCACACTAAACCCTTCTTGAATTTATCGTAACGCTGCCTTTAAACTCTCACAGAGTAGGGAGGGGACTTCACTCTAGGCCTTTGTTGAGAAGACAACAAACTACAAGTGATCAAAGCAACTAAGTGTCTAGGCGGAGGCAGTGTGGTGGAAGGTAACGCCACCTATGCGCACGGTCCAGGAAAAATCTCGGGTCACATCTCGCCCAGGCAAATCACGATTGCAAATGGAAGTA